GATGGGTCTCTAAATGTAATGTCCATGTGATTAAATTTGATTGTTAAATATATATGAGGAGAGTAAAGGTAGTTTAATGATGTCACTCATATTTATAGAAATAAAGGCTCCTTTGATGATGTCATTTTGGAAAGTTTGGTTACAGGATTGCCTGAAAAATCTATTTATATTAATGACTTTAGAAATGATGTCAGTGAATTTTGTTAGGTGATCTACATTGAGACATGCAGTGATAGACAAGAGAGGACCTCCAAAGTCAGAATTCCTGGTTACTCACTGGGTATTGCATCACAAAGTCCCTCTTAGGGAGAAACAGGTCCACGACAAGAGCAATTGAGTTCTACACAGCATTCACACAGGGGTCCATGCCATGGTTATGGAATACCTAACCAAAGCCTGGGTTTCATTGCCTTGAGAACCAAAAGAAAAGCCAAACTCAGAAATTTTCTGAATCCTGCTGTTCTTCCACTACCCAGCTCATCACAGAACCACTGTTACATTTACAACATTACAAAAATGTTGATTTGTATATATTCAAAAACTTACATGGTGGTTGGCTTTTTTCTGTGTCCTACCCATGGTTCATCAGCTCCTCAGACCCAAGTAAACACATAGAGTCTTATATTAAATAAAACTGCTTGACCATTATCTCAAGCTTACTACTGACTAGCTTTTACACTTAAATTCAGCCCATTTCTGTTTATCTATATGTTGACATGATTTCTGTGGCTTTACCTGTGTGCCATTGCGTGCTTCTCCTTGGATGGCTGGTGACACCTGACTCAACCTTTCTCTTCCCAGAATTCTCCTTGTCTTCTTATACCACCTATATTTCCTGGCTGACATCTGACCAATCAGTGTTTTATTAAACCAGTGTACAAAATCATTATTCCACAGCAATCCATAGAGATCTTGTGTATTACCTTTCAAATACCAAATAAGGTCTATGAACCCCTCCTAACCAATCATTATTAAGGAGAAGATAATGTAAATATTTGATTTCAAAATCATGGTCTCCCTTCACAAGCCTGAGTTCACATACATCAATTTCTTGTGTTAATCGATTTCTTCTGTTTTTCCTGTGATTCCGGGTAATTTCTCATTTCACATTCCAGTACTGGCAGGAAAGAAATCTTTTTTAGTATCTTACAAGCAAATAGAAACTGGGAAGTCACAATGTGTTTAATGTGCAAATTCTTATGATACCCCATTTTTTTTTGTTTGTTTGTTTTTGTTTTTTAGTTTTTCAAGACAGGGTTTCACGATGTAGCTTTGTGCCTTTCCTGGATCTTGCTCTGTCGACCATGCTGGCCTTGAACTCATATAGATCTGCCTGCCTCTGCCTCCTAAGTGCTGGGATAAAGGCATGTGCCACCACTGCCTGGCTTTATACCATTTTCAATTCATCGATTTTTATTTTCACTCTAGAATCTGCACTGCCAGTGTGACAGTGTTGTAATGAGTGTGGGATGAGGAGCCTCTTTCAGTGGATATGAATTGCATAGAGATGAGCAAATATGGGACTAGTCTTTTCTGTGAGTAGTTATAAGTCTTATGTGGCATTTGAGATGAGGTAGAATGGGAGAAACGGTTTATCAACTATATAACTGACAGAAGCTATCATCTAAAGTTTAGAAAGGAGTCAAGAAATACCCTGCTACCCTACAAGCTCTGCCTGCCAGAAATCCAGGTAGACGACCTGCAGACCTTCCCTTCTTCCTGATTCATCCAGATCCAACCTCCTCAAGGCTTGTCATCAGCTTTGCAGCAGAACTTCAGTGGCAGCCTTCACAGACCCACTGTTCCCATATCCTGTGGATCCCACAGATATCCCCTTTCAAACCTCCCTCTCACCACCAATTACTGTATCACAGCACCCAATTCCAGCAGGCACATATTGCTTACCCATAGGCCACTCCTTCCAGAAAACAACAAGGCTTCCCATAAAACTTTTCTCACCCTCTATTCCTACAGATGCAATCACCCCAATATCATCCACAGAAATATTGCACAACACCTCTGGTAGTCTGCTCCCTGACATAAAAAATATAATGCAAACTAGCCAAGACAATGTGTCTCCACTAGTGCCTACTAACCCTATCACTTCAGCATCTGAATATTCCAGCATTTATGAAGCCTGGAAACAAGACCTTAAATAGCTTTTATGAATGTAATGAAAGTTCTTAAAGATTAGTTTATTAAATCCTTAAATGAAATCCAGGAAATGAATGGATAAAAAGCAGAAGCTAAATGATTCAGAAACCTAGTGAAGTATAAAACAGAACTGACTAAAATAACACAGAAAAAACAGCAATGAATAATTTCATAAATGTTCTGCAGTGTTTATAGATCAATGTCTACCCCAGTCAACACCAGAGTCTTCCTCTAGTAACTACTGGAAGAATATGCAAAAACGAGACCCACAGCCAAACATTAATTAGAGCAAAGGGAACCCTGGAGAAGAGAAGGCAGAAGGATTATAGAAACCAGTGGTGTCAAGGAGAGCAAGAAAACATGTTGCACAGAATTTCCCAGGCAGAGCTTATAGGGGCTCACAACAACTGACGCAGAAATTATAGTGACTGCATGGGTCTGTGCTAAGTCTTCTGACTACATGCAGTTTATTTAGCTTGTGGAGTTTGTGGTACTCTTAGCAGTGAAAGATGGGTATCTTTAAATATATTGTCTCCTCATGGGACATTTTTCTTCCTATTAAGTTCCTTCATCCTGCCTTGAAATGAGGGATTTTTCCTAGTTTTATTGTCACTTGTTATGCTGTTTGCTTGACCTCCCTGCGAGGCCTGCCCATTTATGAGGTAAAAGGTTAAGCCATGGATCTATTGAAGAGTGTAGGTGTGTGGTGAGTAGAACAGGATGGAGTGGAGGAAGGGGAAGCTGTGGTCAGGATGTATTTTATATGTGAGAATAATGACGATTGAAAAAGAAATCAAGAAAAACAAAACAACAACAACAAAAAAAAACAGGAGTAAATAAAACAGTTCAAGACCTTAAAATTGAAATGAAATCAATAAAATAATTGAACAAAAGTGAAATAGTTCTGAAAATAAAAAATTTTGGAATTCAAACAGCAACAATAGAGGCAAACTTCACTATCATTGTGGACCATTCCAACTCAAGTTTTCATATATCTTCAGAGAAAAAATATTCAGCTTCATAGGAGAAAACCACTACAAAAAATAAAGAATTGTTGAAATAGTTATTAAAAATTAATTAAAATTGTTGGAAGTTTGACCATTCCTGATTTCAATTTGACAAAAAGCTATAGTAATAAAAACAGCATAGTATTAGAATAAAAAGGGACAAATTGATCACTGGAATCTAATTGATATCCTAGATATAAATTCACATACCCATGGACACTTGATTATGATAAGAAGAGACCAAATACACATTTGAAAAAGTAAGGCATTTTCAACAGATGTATAATATAGAAAATATGTTATCAAGTGCCTTACATAAAAGCAGGTAACCCAAACCTAGTAGAAAAGAAAGAGAGAAATAACTTTGAAGTCATTACAATTGGAGTAATGTACATTGTCTCTTATAAAATTCCTGAATAGAACACTACAAGTGTCCACCGTGAGATCAGCAACTAACAAACAGGGCCCCATGAAGAAGAAAATCTCCTCTAAGGCAAAGGACACTATCCTTGAGACAAAGCAGCAGCCTAAGGAATGGAAACAAGGCTTTTAGCATCTCCACATCTGATAGAGGACTTGTATCCATAATTCATGAAAATTCAAGAGACTAGGTACAAAAAACCCAAATAATCCAATTTTAAAATTCAATAGTAAACTAAACCCAGAATTCACTAAAGAGGAAACTCAAATTGCTGAGAAAAACTTAAAGAAAGGTTATTTTGTCTTGTCTTACTATAAAATATAGTAGCATTTTTGGTTCTTGTCTTTTGGAGTCCTTCTCTTTTTGGAAGGTGAATGGAGGCATAGTGGATGTGGGAGAGAGTATGCTTAGGGAAGAGTTGTGTGTGAGAAAAACATATTGTGTTTAGTCTCACCATTGTGCTATCAAACTCTTACTATCACTCAGACATCAAGAGAAGAACACAGTTTATTAGAAATATTATTGTATATTAGAGAAAGAAGAGACCTTGAACTGTGGAAAACTGTCTAAGCCAGGACTTGTGGAATAAGTGATTGATTGGAATTTTATAAGAGACAATGTACAGAAAATCAGTATTCTTGACAATTCAAGTCATCATCATTAGAAGAATAGTTTACAGTCATAAGCTAATGCATGCATCTTGCATTGCATCCTAAGAGATGGTTCTGGACCAATACTAAAGTTGTCAGTTTCAATTAAGGAAATGGCAGTTCAGAAAGATGTTTTCTACTTTATCTTTTGGAGAGAATTTCTCTCTGGTCTGAACAAAATTATGTAGCACTTGGGGAAAAAGATGCATCCCAGCAGGCCAACACTGGAGGCCAGGATGGAAAAGACCTCCACAGCAACCATGACCTTGCCCTTGGTGCTGTGGTAGACAGGGACAAAGGTGACCCAGACACTGCAGAACAACAGCATGCTGAAGGTCAGCAATTTGGCTTCATTGAATTTGTCAGGGAGATTCCTGGCCAAGAAAGCCACAATGAAGCTCCCAAAGGCAAGGGAGCCATGGTATCCCAAGACACAGTAGAATGCAGTAACTGAGCCCTTGTCACACACAATGATGATGTGGCCATGCTCAGTATATGCATCAATGTCAACAGATGGAGGAGAAACTCCCAGCCAGATTGCACACAGAATAGTTTGGATGAGGGTACAGATGGCAATGAGATAGTTGGGTGCCCCTGAAGTCAGGCAGAACCTCAACTTTCTTCCAGGGGCTGTGACTTTGAAAGCCAGAACAACAGTAACCGTTTTGGCCAACACCGTGGAAACAGCCACTGTGAATACAACTCCAAATGTGAGTTGTTGCAGGATGCATGTAGCTGCATTGGGATGACCAATAAAGAGCAAGGGACACAGGAAACAAAAGAGGAGTGAGATGAGCAAGGTGTAGCTGAGACTGCGGTTATTGGCCTTCACAATGGGGGTGTCATGATACCTCACAAAAATCCCAAGAACAAGAGCTGTGATTGCAGTGAACGACAAGGCCATTAAAGTCAAAGCCATCCCCAAGGGGTCTTCATAGGTCAGAAACACCACAGATTTGGGAATGCACTGATTCTGCTCTGCATTGGCATACTGCTCCTCTGGACATTTCATACACTGATCCACATCTGTTGGAGAAAGGAAAGAATGGTTAGTGCAGTTTCAGCATTTTTAGAGACAAGACATTTCAATTAAGTGTGCTGCAGAAGCAGGCCAAAGTCTGCATTTTTGTGACAATGCTAGTGAAAGAAATTTCTGCACAGCAATGCTTCAATTTCACTATTTTTATTCATTATATTTATTTGTAAGCAAACTAAACCATCATTATGTTGTATATTTAATTGTGTGTTAATGATACAATCTTTTTATCTAATAAGAAAAGCATAGATATTTTCAGTACATTCTGAATGCTATGAGAAAGTGACTTAATGTTTTTAAGTGACAGAAGCTGAAATCATTATTCAAATTCTGCCTCCAGAGTGACACACTTCCTCCAAAAAGACCATACCTTCTCCAACAAGACCACACCTGCTAATGAGACCACTCCCTTAATGAGACAATTCTATGAAGACTGCCTGGACTGCTTAGTTGGTAAAGCATGTGACTCTTAATCCCAGGCTTGTGGGTTCATGCCCCACACTGGGCACCAGATAATGGGAAAAATCCATGAAGTCTTCTTTAAGGGCAAAGGAATATATTTGAGAAAGAAACCTCACAGGAAAGAATACAGGAATTTGTCTCAGGATCCTGGAAGTATGAGCATGGTCCCACTCGGTTCTTCCATCTGAAACAATCAGGAAGCAAAGAGAGCTGCCTATGTGCATCCCAGGTCTTAAGGGACACAAGCAGCCATGCCCCAGGAACACGCACTTCAAGATGATAGGCAAGTATAACAGTTGCCTGCTACCTCACTGTGGGTGGAACTTCGAGGTCATAGCAAGAACAGCTACCCACTATAACTAATGATCTTATGTGGTGAGTCCTATTCAAACTACCACAGTAATCTAGTGGTCCTTAGCAAGGCTAATGGAATATGGGAAAAGGGTAGGGCTTGATAGAGACTTGTTGGCCACTCCTGGTCTGACTAAAATCCCTTCAGAATCATTAAGTTGTGTGTGTGTGTGTGTGTGTGTGTGTGTGTGTGTGTGTGTGTGTGTGTAGAATCATATGTGGGTCTACATGTAGAGTAACAAAAGAGCTCATGAATATGACAGTGATTCAATTTATATGGGGTAAGCAGGAAGAATAAAATGATAGAAGCATGTTACATAATTTTGATGTTTGAAAATGCAAAAATAATTAAATACCTTAAATAAACATTCCCTTAGTTGTGGTCTCATCTGGCAGTAAGGACCCTGTGTTCCCAAGCCTTGTTCATATGAAAGAGTAACCCTATCACTCAAGGTGGAAACCTCTGTGTATTTTTAGAATTAAAAAGCCCTACATCTTGATTCCATCACCCTTTGTAAGAAACAAGCACCATCTTCTTCCCCTAATTCCCATTTATATGAGACCCAGACTCTGCAAGTGTCCTTCAGTGTGAAGGAGTTATTGATATAACACCATGAGCAACTCAACATGTGAACATTCAAGCAAGAGTTATATAGCACAGAATGTTTGTTTGGAGGAATAGGACCCCATTCATAAGTTGTAATCTCTACCCTGGCATGTTTAGGAAATGTGATTCCAATTGCTTTGCATCAGTGGATAACTGAAGAGAGTCATGATGTGTTTCTAGAGTTTAAGTCTTATTATGTAGAACAATGAATTTAAGGACACACAAAATTAGGTAATTTGTTCAAGAGACTGGAATGTTGGCGCAATTGAGAAGAGAACTTTCTGTTCTTGCGTGAGACCTGAGTTCAGTCCCCAGCACCCATGTCAGGTCACTCATTACTGGCTGTAACTCTAACTACAGAGGGATTGGATGCTTCTTACTTGCACTTGCAATTGTGCACACATAACCACTCATCTCACATACACACACATAATTAAAGTAATAATAAAATACTTTTTGTGTAAGTTTTGCTGTATTTATATTGTAAATACCCATCCCTCTTATATATTGTTACATTTAAGATCATTTCACTAGACTTTGTTTAATTACTTAAGTGACTCTAGGAGTTATGAGTGTGTGGAGGTCAGAAGACAACATCTAGGAGTTGGCTCTTTCTACTACATATGGATGAACTCATCATCAGCTTTAGTAGAAAGGGAGTTAATTGCTGTGAAATATTACTGGCCATAAGTGTCCTTTAGAGACTTTCAATTTATTGCATGGGATGACAGGCAATAGAAGAGAAAAACAATCTGTCTGCCATTTGCAGTTGCCAGTTGTAGCCAACTCTAACCAGATAATCATTTGGCTAATAAAGGCTGTGTGGGTGACAACACCCTTCAGATAATTGTGGATTGTTGCTTTCATACAAAACATTTTTAATCTTATTTTTGTAACATTATTAAATGGGTGATGTGTAGAAAAATATTGAACAAAGGACTTTCTATTTTCTCCATCAGGTGCCATCTCTTATTCATACTTCCCTAGACTTCAAATCACATTGATACTTTGAAAGGGGGATCTCTGGATATTGCTTGAAGTTATCTATCTCATACTAAATGGTTTCTGTTAATTTTACAAGTAATTATTCCTGTCTCCATTAGTCTTACTGAGGACTGTCATTTGGTTCCTAGTACCCACATAATAGAGTTCAGTGGCTCTGATGCCCTGTTCTGTTCTCCATTGATTCCAGCACATACATGGTGCTTATAAAATTATGTAGGGAGACATATACACATACAACTTGAAAAAATAATATTAGTAAAGATTCATAAGTGGAATATAATCTATATGTAATTTTAGAGGAGATAATCACACTAGGAAAGATGTGTAGAATTCCCTCACACTGCAGTTTGATTATCAAAACTGTTTATTTGAGATTATGACACATGCCATGAATTTTCATTGAGTCAAAGCAGTATGTCATGGCCAAGGGTCTTACTTGAAGACAAGCTGTTATTGATGAATTTCTTATAAAATTGAACATAAGAAAGTGATGTATTTGATTTGTGAAGTAGACTTTTAAACCCTTTGATCATCCCCATGTGTGTCAGAGAGGATGATCATTGGGAACAATTTATCTAGCTGCAAACACTCACTTGTCTCATTAGAAACTTCATTTTCTGGGCAGGAGTTACAATCAAAACAGCAGACTGTCATTCCCTCCTGCCAGAATTTTCTGAATCCAGGACCACAGTCATCACTGCACACAGAGGGCAGCATCTGAGGAAAATTAGACACATGCTGTTATCAGTACTTTTACCTACTCCTTCCATATCTACATTAGATGAGCATGCTGAAATAAGCAAGTGACCACTTTCATATCCACATAAAATGACCAACCACATTTCACTTAGTATATTATATAAAACAATATTTATCAGTGTGTGGAAACGTTAATATAAAGTTGAATCGCTTCACATTGCTAGTAATTTAGGAAAAAGAATAGATTGTTTGTTGTGCCCAAACACTTTGATGCTTCCAAACTGGTTTTTCTAGTTAATTTTAGTCAACTTACCACAAAGCATATTAAAAAGTTAATGGAAATCTTAACTAAAAAATCTTCTGCATTGAACTATCCTGTCATCCTACCTGTAATACATTTTATTAATTGGTACTTGATTTAGGAGTACTCAGCCCACTGTGGGCATTGCTGCCCCTAGGCAGGGCATATAAGAAATTAAGCACAGCAAGCCAGTAAGAATTTTTTTCATAAAGAGCTAAGCTTTAGTTGCAGACCACAGAATCCTGCTTTGTCTTCCCTTGACTGTAAGCCATGAGCCTGATCTACCATTCCTCTTCACTTTTTTTAGTTCATGTTTCATCACAAAAATACATAGCAAGCTAGAGCTAATGGACATGTGAAACAGAAAGTAAGTCCTCATATCTCAGATAGCATACATGAACTCCAATCACATAGCACTGCAAAGCATGAAAGAGTATAAGAAAAAACAGGAAAATGGCAGAGCCTGGTGCATTTGTAGTGATAAAGTGCTGAGTTGACAAGAATTGAACTGGAAGGTGGAGTGTTTCCTGAGGTGAAAATGCTTTACAAAAGCTCTACGTACTGGGGGTACCTGAATAAAAGTTAGCTTACTTAGTCTTAATTAAAGGATTTCTTAAAGTTTAAAATAAAAGGTCATTTTTTTTTTCACCAACAACCTGCTTAGAGCGATCTGAATGTTGCTTAAGAAAGCTACTGATTGTTGTGTCTTCACATTACATCCTTTCTTCAGGACTGAGTTCTGTGTTGAAACTGCAGTGTCTCTTATACACTGGCTCTTCCATATTCTCCACAATACAGTTAACTATAAATCTTCCTTTTGTTTTTCAGTTTTCTTGAAAGAAGGGTGTCACAATGTACTGTTGGGAGACCTCAACTCCTATATAGACTAGGATGATATAGTTACCACAGAGATCATTGTTTCCTTCCTCCTGAATATTGGAATTAAAATATATGCTATCAGAAGGCACAGTTCTTCCCTTGTTTTTTGTTTATCATGTTTACAATTTCTTTTGTACTTGCTGATATATTAAGGACTATTTTGAAGAAGAGAGGAGAATATCCAATTTTCCCATGTATTTTTAGACATATGAGAAAAAAAATAAAAAAAATTCCATTAAAATCATTAGTGAGGCCAGATGTATGCCATGGTTCATATCTTTATTCCAAACTCTTGGGAGGCAGATGCAGGCAACTCACTAACAGTTTATGTCCAGTCTGGCCTTGATGGCAAGTCCATGCAAGCTAAGTTTGCAAATAGAAACCATGGCAGAACTTCTCATTATGGCAGAGTGGTTTAATAAGGTTTAAGCAGGGTTTGGGGAAGCAGGAGCAGGGATGAGAGGGGGATCTATGGTTGGTATATAAAATGAATATTTTTTTGTTTTAATTAAAAAAATAAGATATTATCTTAGATTAAATGCATGTCTTCTTCATTATTCCCTTCTTCTGTCCATTTTTCTTTATTTTTGAATTGTTTTTTGAGACAAGGTTTCTCTTTGTAGCCATGGCTGTTCTTGAATTCAATCTGTACACCAGGCTGCACTCAAACTCAAAGAACCAACTGCTTCTGTCTTCAGAGTGCTGTAATTAAAGGTGTGTACCACCACCACCTGGCATAAGGCATGTCTTCCTCTCTCAAAAGTCTGAATCATAAGATGATCTTCCTATGACAAATTTAGCCAAAATTCCTCAAAAGTGGGTTGCCAATGTTTTGGTTTTAATAAATTCCACATGCAAGTCAATTTTCTACCCTAGAGCAGCCATCACAGTCTCTTTCAAGCATAAAGGATAACTTTATTAGTTATATTAACTGGGACTTACAATTGTGACTGTAACTGAATTACATCACTGATACTCTCCTATTTTAAGAGAGTTCATGAAGGATTCTACTATAGGGGCCTTTCTAGGAAATGGGCTTCTATCTTGCCACCTTCAATTTCCTTTCTTTGCCCTGTATATTTCAAATTTTAAGTAAAATTTATCAGGGAAAGGATATTTTTGATACTATGTGTTTGGTATTTATTGTCTCCTTTCTCTAGAAGACTATATGTCCCACTGTGTTTTGGAAAAGTATTGTTGCATTTAATTGGACATACTTTTGATGCCTATCTGACTCCTTTTACTCTCCTGCCCACAGTTTGTAAACTTGATTCTTTAACTATACACTCTTGGTCTCATATATCTTTCATTTTCCTTATTTTTATCTTTTTCATAGTTTCTTCTGCCTTGTCTTCAAGTCTTGCTATCTTGTCTCCAACTTTAAGTATTGTTTTAATGAGATTTCTAAGAGAGATTTTTATTGGATTTCTTTTGTCTTTTCTTTCCATATTTTAAATTGAATTATTTTCATTATTTTTTTTTACTTTTAGAATGCCTGTGTTACAGTTTCCTATTACATGCAAGCTTTTGTGATGTCATTGCATTCTCCTGCAAGTAATTTGTGTAATGTCTGAGTTTCAGGATCATCTTTGAATTCTTTTTTTTAGTATGTTATTATGTATACTCTCATTCAAGCCTAAACTATTACACTTGGAGTTGTGTTGCTTTGATGTATTCATATTTTTGTACATTTGCTTCTGCATTGAAAATTGTATATCTGTGACTAGAGCACAAGTTACATTGTTCTTTTTTTTTCTTTAACAACATATTTAATTTGACTTTTCATTATTTGATGACCTGAATTGGACAGAATAGCAATATCCAAATTTAATAATTTTTAACTGGAACATTATGGCTAATTCATACTCTGTATTACAAAGTGAGTATTGTCTGACAGCTGGTGCAAAGCACCTCAAATCAATAAAACTCTTATTAATTCTATCCTAAGTATTTGCTATTGGTTCATATGGACAGGATACTAAGAAAAGGAAACTGAAGTTCTGGGGGGTTTTAATGCAGGTTGTTGTAGGGAGGAATGTTGAGTATTTCTTTTTTTTTCTTTTATTTTACAATACTATTCAGTTCTACATAACAGCCACAGATTCCCTTGTTCTCCCACTTCCTGCCCCCCTCCCCTTCCCCCCAACCCACTCCCCATTCCCACCACCTCCAGATCAAGGCCACCCCCAAGGACTGAGAAACTAAACACATCCTCGTTTGTTTCAGTTAATTATGAAAGAATTAATAGAACCAAGACATATTCCTCTAGTTCACAATGTCTTTTACAGGATAAACATCACAGCTGGGAAAATTGCTCAGCTGTCAATAACTATTGCTGCTCATGATCATGCTTTAGATTTGATTCCTGGTACCCATTTTGTGGCATTATGTTGTCTCCAGGTCCCAGAGAGGCAAGTCACAGTTTGGCATCCATATGCATCACACAATTCAGACATACATGCAGATAAAACACTCATACCCACAGAAGAGAAAAAGAAAGAGAAGAGAAACGTTATATAATTCATAGTATACCTAAGTGTATCATGAAAATGTTATATTTATGTATGGCTATAGATGTTGGCAATTTAGGATCTGTTGCTAAAAGGCTTAAAACACTTTTTGTAATAAAAAATAATGATTTGCCTATGTGTAATTTACTCCTCATTTACAATTACCCTCAATTTTTCAGCACTGGTGTTAGAGGTTCAGCAGAAAAGAGGAAAACCATTGTGTAGTACTCAGAATGATACCTAGAGAATTACACTTTACTGGAAATAATATTAAACAGTGCTAACAAGCATTTTTAAATTTATATTAAAAGACAGAAACGTGTTCAAGTATGATAAAAATTCAATGAATGAATGTATGGCATCCACAAAGAATTAATAAAACACATCAAAAAGTGAAAAGGAGAGTCATACTAAAGGAGGCGAAAGAATGGTCCCTAATGTGACAATCGATTTCATTTCACTAAGTTATAAGAAAGCACAAATGGAAACAATTCACAGTGTTATTGCTTTGCAATGGAAATCAGAACAGTTAGGTCACACCCACCTCTCTACTTCCTGTGGCCCACTCTATAATGTCTTCATATAAATCGAGCTGTTGACCATGTGGAAAATATGGGCTAAACTTTCCAATCTTCACCTTAAGTCCAAGACCATTTGGGAAATTCCAAATCTGGAAAATGTCATACTCTGCCTGCAGTTTTTCTTTCTGTTTCATATTCACTTTGTCCCCAGCAGTATAGGTGAAGTTGGTCTTCCTAAGAATGGAGTGCAGCTGAAAGACAGTCAGCAATTCTATAATAGTGTATGTGTGTCCTTGCTCAAAGTCAGAAAATGTATTCTGATTTCATCATAAATACAACTTTATTGAAGGTGCACAGTTGAGAAATCTCAATGAAAACAAGTGGATTAATAAAATTATCATTATATCACTAGAATTGCAGTTCTCTCAGTGGATACTACCAAACACAAATGCAGTCATACATGCCAACACCAAACAAAATGTTAAACATGCACATACATAGACACACTCTCATATCCATACAGAAATACATACATAATACAGCCACATACTATTTACTCACACATACTTAGATAAGTCAAGACACACATGTGAACACACAGACACACAAAAATCACACTTATGTACCCAAACAGACACACAGAAAGAGAAACCCCCAAAAATCATAAACAGGCTGATACACACACTCAGAAATTCATAGATATATACAGATAAAAACACACAAGAAGACACCGATGGAGTTAAATTTATGTTCAAACACAAAGACAGACAGACAGACAGACAGACAGACACACACACACACACACACACACACAAATTAACACACACACATATACACACAGATGCACTGAAACACATATACATATGTGCAATAAAATCAAAAAAAATGTACAGAAATCACACACATAGGCACATGTAGACACATACACTGACAAATACACACAGAAATACACACCTACAGAAAAAAATTGATGCAGGCCAAATTTATATTTACTTCTACAAATAAATTTATATACAGATAGACATATTTATATACAGAAACACATACACTCATCAGCACAGATATACACCCAGATACACAGAAACAAGCACATACACACTCATAAACAGTGATTGCCATCCATTCACATATATTTATACACATGTATGTACTGAACAGAATCCTGGCATTATTTTCTGTGTTTTCCAGAGCCCAGAGTGGGGGAAGAATGAGTTAATAACACTTTAGGAAACCATCCCCTACAGTGTTTACCACATATTTGACAACTAACGGACAAAAGCTTATCTTCCATCCATTAGAGGATTAATGAAGAAGGGTGCTCATGTTTCCAGTATTAGAACAGGGGTGATTATATTCACGTGCTCCTGAACAAAATCACTGATTTCCCTTGATAATTTGTGTGTCTACTCCACTACCTTTGCATTGGAGATTTAAACCAATATCCAGATTAACTCTCTCAGGAGGAAAATTGTTCAGAAATCTTTTTATTTGCTAAAATATTCCCTAATCAACTTGAATGGAACATCAGAGAGACTGTTAGTGACTTTGACTTTGATGACACCAAATATCATCCAATTTACGAGACTGTACCTCTAAGCAATTAAATTGATATTCTTTCACATTATCCATTGTCTGAAGAAGATTCTCCTTGTAGAAATGAGCCACGATATGCACTGCATCATATATATCATAATTCTCATCACTAAAAGTCATGTCAAAAGTGTGCAATATTAGCCATTCCAGTGAGGCATTGGATGAGCAATTCTTCAGTGTCTTACAATTAGAAGCTGAGACTTCACAGTTAAAGTTCATCCAGTCCAGACTTGCCAGATATTCATTTGGAGTGAGAGGGCTCAAGGTATGGAGGAAATTTTTAAATCCAGAAATCTCAGCATGATGGTGTGCAAAAGTTAGAGTCTTTTGAGATGAGTCAAGTGTTAAGTCTCTCATACTTGTAATGACATCCCACTGTGAGGTGGTGACCCATATTTTCTGTATACCTAGAGATTCCCACATTCTATAGCTCAAAGCTAGAGTGCTGTCTGTATAACCATAAATGATAACAACATTTGAGGATGATGTCATGATTTGTCTATAATACACTTCAGCTCTTGACATGTATAAGTGCATGTTGACTGAAATCATGTTCACAAAGGCAAAGCAGATTATATTTTCTTCCATCTCTCTTCTCAAATATGAGAGAAACTGGATACCATGATCATTGTCTGGGATGGCCAGCCCAATCCAGTTCCAGCTGAAGTGAAGTATGAGGGAGATCATGGCCAGGGCTAGAGATGTGTCCTTAGGGGCCATCTGATACAAATAAGGAAATTGTTCCTCATCACTCAAGATAGGATGGAAGGGTCCAAAAGTAAGTTGAACAATCTGTGACACAGGAAGGAGCATGAGGTCCCATGGACTAAAATAATTTGTTAAACATATTTTTCTGCAGAGTTTTTAAATATCCCCTTACCTGTAACCTCTTCCTTTAGCTATACTTTAAAAAGAGAAATATTAAAGGCCCATAAAAATCTCTGAATGGACCCTTGAACTACATAGTTTGACATAAGTGTAAGGTCAGTTTCTCCCTCACACTCTTCTTGGCATCTTGGAATGGCACCAATAGAGACAGGATTGCTTGCACAACTAACCACATAAATTCTCACCTGCTGATAATTGTAGAGGTCCATTGCTTTCCCAACTACTAAAGATTCTTCCCAGCTAGGTCCTGAAAGCACCACTGAACACATGGTCATTTCAATACAGTTATAATTAGGCACATTATAATGAAGATTTACAGAAGATTCAATGATATTGTATGTTTGTGACATGATGTTACAACCACCTTCTAGAAATCCAAATATTAAAGACATATTTGGTAGAAGATAAGGGTTCCTGTTGACTTCATCCACTGAAAAAGCTAAGGCCAGTGCAAACTGATTGTTGTCATTTCCTCCTCTGTAAAAGGTGACAATGATTAGGGACAGATATACAGATAATCATGTGTAATTAATACAAGGACTATCCTGTACGGGATGGTATTCCTAACCACTCTCAAAGATTGAAACAAATTTTCTGTGCTGGCATGTTGAGATGACATAAGAAGATGGAATCTTACAAAAACATTTAAAGGTTCATGAGAATACAGTTCCTATAAATAAGATGAGCCATCAGCATCTTCCACAGTGAGCCTTGTCCATCTCTGGCATTTGAGTGCTTTCTCAAAAGGTAAAGACAAGGCTACAGGCTTTGATCAAACAGTAAACCTCATCATGCTTTCATTTTTAAATTATGAGCAATATAAAAAATGCATGAGGTGTGTGAGCCATTCGATTTATGGTATTTGCTTTTGAAATTAACTGAATTAGGTAAGGCAGTCATAAATGTCAAATGTGTGCAAAATAGCCTAGGCAACATTTGGCTCTTGGACTTACAATTCTTTAAAATCAGTAGGCAGTATATCTCATCCTGACCATCTTCATCTTTTTTATTTCTGGTTTATCTATTGCAGCCATGAATTTTTTAAGGATTTATTTTTAAATAATTTCAAATACCAGGGATGTATTTGGTAAAGATGTGTGACTGTCTTCATCTGTGTGTATGGGTAGTATTAAAGATCAGTTAGGCTTTAGGATTCCATCTGTAGACTAAACAGGCCTCAAATGCATAGGGATACATTTTTCTAGGTCTGAGTTTGTACTACCTTCTATTTTTCACTTATTTTATGTGTACACTGCCATGTTGTATATTCACACTGGGTATATCCTATCAACATAGCATTTTTCTAGAAAACATCATTTGAAGACCTTTCTAGTTACACTAATATGAGACTAGAGTCCTACAAAGATTTGGAGGTACTAGTATAACATGTTTGTAAAATATAAGACTCTAAAATGTAAAATATATGGAGACTATGTGATAAAAACTGGTAACAGATCAGTTGGAAGAGAATAATATCAGATTGTTTTTATGTTTATGGGAAGAATAATAACTCCTCTTTCATCCTGGTCATTTCATACCATCTAATCAATAAGATCAAATATACACAAAACCAAAGTGTATGTAATGCCGAAATTGGGAAAATATGCAGATATAATGAGTAAAATTACTTACAGAAAAACAAAAGCGGTAAATGTGATGTAAGTGTCAGAGAATAAACAGCTTAGACATATATAGGGAGAAGACACATGCTTCTTGATTAATGGCAAAGATGAGCTAGTAGGTAACACCTCTATCGCTATTATCAGTTGTTGCCAACTATCACATACAACAGCTGTCTCTCAGGCAAGTGATAGGGGAAGCAAGCAGTCACTACTATTAGAGACAGCCTCAGTTCTCAAAGAATGCAAGCATATCGTTTACAGTCCATACAATCCTTCTCTGCTCTAATGAAAGAGTAAATAAATGAACTTTGAAATTAAAGGCCAGTGAATGTGCATGTATATAAGTGAGGGATAGAGAAATAGGAACACATATGTGATTCAAAGTGGACAGGTTTCCTACTTCCATCCTCAATGTATCTTTGAAAGGCACATTGTGAGCCCATGCAGAGCGTCTGAGAGAGTAACTGAATATCTATGTGAAAAGTCTCTGTAGTTAGTGTGCCACAAATATTATTTGTCCAAGCAATGTTATAGGACCTACATGATGATGGAATGTTCAGCAGCTGACTCTACTCTATGGCCATTTACTTGTTCCGAATCAAAGTGACATTCATTGAAATAGAATGAGGTTTCCTTTGATAAGACATCATCTGATGCTGTGATATGGAAACTGTGAAGAGGCAGACTATATGTGATGGAATAATGTATAGTGTCCTTTCTTCACTCAGCATCCAGGCTTGGGGAAGCTTTAGGGTAACTGGGAGAAAAACAAAACACTTTCCAGAAAAATTATAAATAGAAATGCCATTGGGTCTCTAAAAGAATTTGGAATTGTTTAATGGTGTGCAGGTTCAGAGAACAGGCCAGAAGATGCAAGGCATTACTTTGATCCTCGTCCTCTTAATCCCTCATTAAATATTAATGACATTTACATAGAAAGTACAAGGCACTTACCGTTCTTTGAAAGGTTGTATCAAATCCATTATCTCCACTGACCCATGCACTACACCAAGTATGAAGGCACATGACTCAAATATTCCATCCTTGTCTTCACTCTGCTTCATTGTCCAAAAGCACCTGGGATGAATGAAAGTTGCCACATGAAGTAGAATGTTCAGGAGTAAGAAGAGCAAAATCGAAGTGAACATTTTTTTCTAATCTAACCCTGGGAAATTTGGATTGTGACATGCTATTCTGATCAGAACGTCAAATAGGCACCCAGATATCCCCACCTGCTTTTATTTCTGAAACCAAATAAGAGGCCACTTGTGTATTCATGATTCCATTTTGTGTGTGCAGTTGTTTCCTCACCCATTGAGAATACTTTAAAACTCTCTTCCCCGGGGCTCTTCATCTGATGTCTGTGGTCCATGATATACAATTTAGATGATAAATAAATAGGATGATAGTCCAGCTAGTTTCATGACATCATTCATCATTTGGAATTAATTTTGGAAATTAATACCCCAGGGAAGATGACATTTTGGGAAAATTTGTTCTTTTGACTGCCTCAGTTATCTTTTAATGTAAACAGCTTTACAAATAATTGTAGCCAGAAGTTTTCTCCAGTCCTGCCTAGCCTCTGTGGCCTCATAGCCACTTATAAAATAATCATTCAGAAGCTTATATTAATTATAACTGCTTGGCCACTAGCTCAGCTTTATTACTGTCTAGCTCTAACACTTAAATTAACCCATAATTCTTAATCTATATTTTTCCAAATGTTTCGTGGTTTACCAGTCTGCTGGCATGTTTTTGTTACTTTGGTGGCAGCTGGCATCTCCTGTACCTTTGTCTTTCTTCTCTCTGCAGTTGGAATGTACCACCTAACCTTTTTCTGCCTCACCAAATAGATTTATTAAACAAACAGCTTTATTTATCAATCAATTAGAGCAATATATATTCACAGCATACAGAAAGACATCCCACAGCAAATGTTGTCAATGGATTTTGATAGATTACCCACAACGAGACATGCATTATTGGTTCTGGAGGACTCACAAAGTAAGAATTCATGGGATTGTATCAAAAAGTCCATGTCACGGAAAAACAGCTGCATGTTTAGAGCAATTGAGTTATACATGGCATTCACAGTGGGGCCTGCTCTGTAAGGGTGGCCCATACAGAATATCTATCTAAAGCCTGTGACTCCATTTTCTTGAAAACCAAAAATCAGTCCAACCAAATCATTTAATTTCCTGAATACTGCTCTTCCAAAACTATCCAGCTCATCAAAGAACCAGAGTTCATTTACAAATTAAAATTTTGATTTTCAAATATTCAAAGAACTCCAGAAACAACACCATACTGGTGTGCACCATTTTATATACTATATAAGACCTATCACTCCTCCTCCAAAGCAATCATTATTCATGAGAAGATAAGTTGAATGTTTGATTTCTAAACCAAAATCATCTTCCATTTCTTCTTGTTTATCTGTGGTTTCCTATATTGTTGTTGCTCATTTTATAATCCAGCAGTGGCTGCAAAGAATGAGTATTTTAGCAGCAAATAGAACCTGGGAAATAGCCCTGTGTTTTATGTACAAATTCTTCTCATACAATTTTCCTACTCATCTACTTCACTTGCATTCTGGGACCTGCACTGCCACTGTGATAATGTTCGGCTGAGTATGGGATGAAGAGCCTCTCTCAATGGATATGGACTACAGAGGATGTAGGACAAATGTAGGGCAAGTCTTTGTTGTGGGTGGTGTTATGTCCAATTAGTATTTGAGATGAGGCATACAGAACTACTGCTCTCTTCTCAATCTTATTGTACATTTAATAATAAACATGTAAAAAATGTATGACCTCTTGGTTTGTGATCAGTTACCCTGTGGGCTGAAGATGTAGATATAGAGAGTGTGACAGGCAAATTCTTTCATAGAAAAATAGATACAATTAAGCATTCAAATAGGGTGCAAATAAAAATTCCAGTGGTTCAGATTCAGCACGGTATGGAGTTTTGGTGCAGTTGGATAATTACTTTTTATAATTAATATACAGCATAGAAGGTTTTATTGGAACAATTCACACATGTGAAGCACGTCCTTTGTCGATATTTGCTCTTCTGTCACAGGTATCTGTTGCTCAACTTACTACTGATTCCATCCCTCAATTCAAACACCTTCCTTTTCATTTTGTGACTTTTGTGTACTTGTTCAGTTCATGAGACAGGTGTGATAGTATCTTCATACTGGCTTCAGATCGTAGACCACGCCCAATTCCTTCAGGCCTTCAGTTCTCAAATCTTACCTCTCCTACATGCTTTGGGTGAATATATATGTATATATGCACACAAACACATGGACACACACAGACACACACACAACACACACACACAAACACACCCTAATTATGTTACATCTAGAGTCTGTGAAAAATTTGAATTTCCAGGGTCTGTCTGTTTAGTTAACATGATGACCACTTTCAACATCCCCAATTCCTGCTAGTGACATCATTTAATTCTTCCAGGCTGAGGACAACTGCTTTATTTGTATGTAAATTCTTTGAAGCTTTCATCTGAATTCCAATATAACTAAGAGATTTCTCTACCCAGTAATCTTATTTTTTTAATTACAACACTGGTGTAGAAGTAACCATCTTATTCAATAAGAAACACAGAACCAATGCAAAGATGAAAAGCCCAAGAGGTCAGAGATAAGAGCCTTACCCTTCACTCTGCCGCTATCCTCTTCAGTCAAAAGAACTACTTATTGTGTGTTTGTCTTTATAAGAATTTTCTGTTCTGCCTTCTCATTGGTTGTAAACCCAACCACATGACTGCCTCCTCAATGCCTGTCTATACAGACCTCCAGGTCTTCTATGGTTGGTACTGAGATTAAAGGCGTGTGTCTCCATGCTGGCTGTATCCTTCATCATGCAGAGATCTGCCTAGCTCTACCTCCCAAGAGCTGGGATTAAAGGCATGAACCACCACCACCCAGCTTCTGTGATGGCTTGCTATTAGTTCTGGCCCCCAGGCAACTTTATTAATTAACATACAAATAAAATCACATTTCACTTCAAATAAAATATCTCCATACACTGGTTTCAATCATTCAACTGAATTACATAGCAGTTATTTTTGTAAACTTCTCTAAAATTGGTGTCTAAGATTTAGTTAAAAATAACTGTGTATTTAAGTGTGGTAAATCATGGAATGAAACTTTCAAAATTCTAAGAATGCAATGTAAATAGCAATTATGCATCTTTGTACATATAAAAATAAAGCCACAAAATTTAGATGAAAACTTTTCTTTATTTCCTTATATGTTGAGGGGCATCTTGGTTGACCATTATCTTTAATATTCTTCATAATACTAAAATAAACAAGGTGCTTTCTTTTTTCCATTGTACAC